CTCCTCCTCCTTTTTCTTTTGTTTCATCTTCATCTTTATCATCTATCCTCTTCATCGTGTTGTTCATCTTTCACCACTAACACCATCCCATAATTTTCTATCTTCAGTATCTACATCATCTTTCACATCCATCACCTAATCATTTTCATCATCTTCCATATCTATCAGCTCATCATTTTTACGAGTATTAGCTTCTAGCTAGGATTAAAAACAAGTTTGAGAATTGCCGGAAAGTCACCAGAAAATTAGAGTGAATATTCGCTTTAACACAGACAAACATTTAAAAGTTGTATGTATACAAACAACTAAATGTATGTGCACAAATATTGATTTTCGTGCAACCAAGCTGTAACATTTTATGCAACACAACACACAAACCAATTCCTGTTTACATACATCTAGTTGTTTGTATGCTAACAATTTGTATATTTTTTTATCTGTGCTTAACAATTTTGTATGTGCACATACACATTGAAAAAAAGCAGTGTCTGTATACACATACAAAAATTTCTGGTGAATGTTCAACTATAATTTTTCGACGACTTTAATTCCGGCTACTCAATTTTTTTTTTTTATCCCAACTGACCCTAAAAGATGATAATGGTAAAAGATGATGAGGTGATGGATGTTGAAGATGGCTAAGATGGGGAGATTATGAATATGGGGTGAGGTGGATGGAAGTGGAAGATGCTGAAGATGGTGAAGATGGAAAATGAAGAAGATGGAGAGATGTTGATGATGAATGTGAAAGTGATGAAAATGAAAAAAAAAAAAAGAAGAAGGGAGAGAGGGAGAGGTAAACAAGTTGGGGACTTTATATAGAGCGTGCAAAAGTTGTGCACGTTTTTGTGTACACTTATGATTATTGTTTTTTCCAATAGCTAAGCTAGACAAGTAAAGCTAGACAAGTACTTTCATATTCCCCTCTGTTCCCTTTTCATTGCAATGTTCTCATTTTCAAGTTTATCAAGACACAACCTTGAACATTGATATAGTTCATTCCTCATTAGTAAAAGTATTAAAAAATACATTCTTGAAAATTTAGAATGAACCAAATTTAGTAAGATTTTCAAATAAAATTTCAAATACATTAATAAATAAAATGTTGTCAAAGTACAACATGTGATAGTTGAAAGGAGGAGACATTTCTCTTTTCTATGTGGGACAAAGGGCAAAGAGAAATAAAATTTTGAACGATAAAAAATTAAAAAAGCCTAAATAGAACCATAGTATCATTGGAATAGATACAAAAATAACCTTAAATAGAAGAAGCCAAGTCAGTGGGTTGGTCAGGGTGGATAGAAAAGAAAAAACAATTGAACTAAAAATATTTCTGGCGAGATCTATTTTATTGGTCGCACAGAGAAAATATCCCAATGTAAACATGTTTTGATAACACCTGTAACGGGAAAGCCAAATTACAATCAAAGAAAAAAAATTACAAATTTGATTTATTGCCCAACGGATTACACCAAGTAATAAAAAGTCTTTTGTCTTGATTCGACCTTGCATCAAATATGCAATAATAGACGGTATAAGTTTGACAACACTCTTTAATCCCGATTTATTGCGGGAAAGGGATAATGTGCAACTTCGGGGTTATAAAGTATATCCTTTATCTAACTGACAAACTAATTCAAGAAAATTATGACCCAAGTCTTCAATTAGTTCGGGCGTGTTTAGTTTATCATTGCAACCAGGATACGAAAAGTTATTCTAGTGAAGCAGCCCGCACTTCCGTTTATGAAATAAGAATAAAAAATTTGATTCATCATTTCCTAAGAATTAACTTTGCGAACGCACGACTTTCGTATATCTCAAAAAGGAATGATCCTTTGGGTTTAGGATTATTTGCTAATAATGAATTAATTTGGACCACAAAAAATTCATTTTCCAAGACAAGGATTGACGAAACCCTTAACGAAAAAAAAGGAACTATTCATACATTTTGGAATCAAAATAAGGAATATAAGTCCTTTATCATTTTGTCATCATCAAATTGTTTTCAAATGACTTTTTTAACGGTGTAAAATATCACAAACGTCAGAAAAGCCTCAATACAAAAGCATTCCCCAAGCCTTGATATTAATAATTATTTTGGTCCTTTAGGAACATACCTTCCAATTGTGAATTGTGATTCGTTGAATCGGTTATTAAACCATTTGAACTATAGCAACATTGAATTGTTTATTTGTTAAAAAAATTGTTATTTATTAGAAACGGGTAGGGCAAAGATGGGACTAACTCAAAAAGTATTGAGAAAGGATTTGGACACGGGTCAATGGGGGTGTCTGAAAATGACGTTTCACTAAAAAAATGGTTGTTTGATCATCGTTTTCAATAAGTGAAAACGTTATTTGGTAAATTGGTGTTCGGCCATAACGTTTTTGGATGAATCCATTGAAAGGAAACGCTGCAAATGAGAGAATTTGTGTTAGCGTTTTGAAATATGACGCTGTTTTTTTACTAATTCTTACAAAAAATATTCCCTCCGTCCCAATAAATTCTTCCAACTTTGAGTTGGCTCGCATATTTAGAAAATGGAATAAAGTGAAAATGTATGATTGTGATTGTGTAAGAAAAAGTGAAATGAATGTGAGCCACACAAATTATCCAAAAGGGGAAGTCGGAAGAATTTTTCGGGACGGTCCAAAAAAAGAAAGTTGGAAGAATTTTAAGGGACGAAGGGAGTAACAATTTTTTTTTGTGATAAATCAGAGAAGGAAAATTGACAAAATCAATAACATGAAATAGTATTTTCAGATATACTTCGTCCGAAAGGAATTCCATAATGATTTTGGTTGACGAGAATGAGAGAATCTCAATAGGCATTACTTTTAGAGTGATTTGGAAAAGTGGTTAATAGTAAAAGTTGATAGTGTTTGAGAAAAAAGTGGTTTTGAAATGTAAAAGTTGATAATGTTTGGTAAAATAAGTGATTTTTTGTGTAATAGAAAAAAGAAAAACATTTTTTACATAATATTCCGAAAAGTAAAAATGAGTAATATTTACTCCGTAATAAATAAATACTAGTACTTTTTAAGCCTAAAATCTGTTTTTTTAAGCATACGGGACTTTCGAATTCCGAAAACGGGTATATAATCCGAATCCATGACAGATTTTGTCAAAAAACGGGCAATACCCGATAATAGGTGTCGTTGATTTTACGTCATTCTTGACCTCAAACGACAATTCCACAACACGTTCGTGGGCCATTCGTTACATCAAAACCCCTAATCCTTGCAACTTTGCTCCATTATTTCTTCCATTTCTCTATAGGTTTGATCTCAAACCTATCGCCGGCGACCACCGTCTTCTCCCTGGATTCAACCCATCCGCCATATTCCGCCGTCAGGTACCCACCTACCCTTCATATGTTTTTATTGCTCGTGTTTATATCTGCATCTGCTTGAATCTGGATAGCTCAGTGTACATATTTCCCTTTTCTTGTAACTATTGTTTGATGTGTGGAGTAGATCTCGAAGTTTGTTGGGCTATTTTTGTTAGGGTTTAGATTTGGAATCTCGTTGACTGTTTAGCTTGTTGTGCATCTTTTTACTCCTTATTTTTCTGTTCTGTTTTGTACTTTGAGTGTGAGTCTGAGGATCTTCTGGTACTGACTAGGCATACCATCTTTGATTAGGTTATACGTTATTATCTGAAAAGAGCTTAGAAGATCTTTCCTGGCTTAAGTTATGGCGTCAAAACGCATACTGAAGGAGCTCAAGGATTTACAGAAGGACCCACCAACATCATGCAGCGCTGGTATGGCTTGAAATTTTGAATCACATATATTTATTCTTTTGATTCCTGGTTTAGTTGCTAACTGTTTGTAGCTTGTGCTTTTAGTTTTACTTTTTGTAGCCTTGTGCTATTTGATTGTGCATTATGTAGCATGTACTAATTGTTTGGTAATTTTTGTTGCAGGTCCTGTTGCAGAAGATATGTTCCATTGGCAAGCAACAATTATGGGGCCAACTGATAGTCCCTATGCTGGAGGTGTTTTCCTGGTTTCGATTCACTTCCCTCCTGATTACCCTTTTAAACCTCCTAAGGTATATGATCACGTTCTAGGTTTTGTTTGACTTTTCTTTGACTATTGTAGTATTGTATAGTTTTCATTGGATGTGGGGTGCTGAATCATTATTGGTGGATGCATATGCTTTCACTTACGCTATGTTTGCAATTCAGAAAATGATCTTGTACCCTTGGAGAAACTATTCTCATCTTACAATATTTAGATTTCTTGTCCTTTATGTAATAGGCATGGAGTATGAAGAAATTTATATACTCCCAAACATTTTCTGATTTTTTTCATATTGTTTACATCCATATTTAGTGTTTTCTTGCCCTAGCTTTATTGAGTCACAAACAGACCCTTGATGATGTGGCAATATGATATCTGGATACATTCACACCTTGATCTGTACGCTAATAACTCAAAATAGTAAAATGTTGATTTTTTTATGAGATTTTGATAAGTAACGGAGGAATCCCAGTAGATAAAAGCAGTGTATTAATGAAGATTAAAGGTTGGAATACAGAAAATTACGAAAGAAAAGGTTTGAGACTCTTCGAGTGGTCTCTCACTCCCAGTTCCGATCCCAGTTCCCAAGTTTCAGCCTCCGTTATTCTTTCCTCTACTCCTCTTTTATAATAAAACTCACTAAAAGAGCCAGCCCTCACTTAAGCTATTGGGCCTAGAACCCTATTATTGGAAAACATTAAAATACTTAATAAGACTCTAATTATTTGTAGTACCCGGGTCCCTATCATCACTCCCCCCTGAACTTCCACCTTGTCCTCAAGGTGGATGATAAGAGACTGATTTTCCATTGGGTTTCAGCAGGTTTTCAGCTTCATCCCTTTCATATAACTGATCTTCTGTTCCCTTCTCTTCTTCTGGCTCTTCCATCCAGATAAGTTGATAATTTTTCATTCCACATACATGCTTTTTGCCTCATTTGTTTCCACATTTGAAACATAGGCCCTTCTTGCTTCTTTCTTCTAAGTCCACTTGTGTCAACCTTTGGCCACTCTCCCATGTCTTATTTGGTTTTGGCGATTCCTCCAGTTTGTTCTTTGAGAGTGTTCTCTCCGGAGCAGTTGTTCTTCCCTTTGTCGCTTCCACCCAATTCCAGGCTCTGACAAGTTTTCCTCCCTGTTCCTTCAAGCCTTTGTTGTCTTCTTCTTTATTTGTTTCTCCTTTCCATACCTTGTTCTTCTGTTCAACTAGCTGGGCTGTGTCCATAAGATCAGTTAACTCAGTGGGCCGGTGCAACTTCAACTCTGAGCTAATTTCTTCTTTGAGGCCATTAAAAAATACTCCTTTTAGCATCTCTGGGTCAGCAATTTTGAGGGGAGCTACAACCCTTTCGAAATGATCCCTGTACTCCATGACTGAATTAGTTTGCTTAATCTTGAGCATAGGGCCAAACGGGTTCTGAACCAATTCCGGCTGGAAGCGTCTGATCAAAGCTTCCTTAAAATTACCCACCATTGATACCAGTTCAGAGCCCTTTCGGTCATGGCTATCAGGACAACTTCCACTTTGTCACCCTCCGATACATGATTTAATTTAAAATAGCGTTCAACCCTGAGAAGCCAACCATAAGCATCGTTTCCACTAAACAAAGGTCAATCCACCTTTCCTCTGGTATAAACCCAATCGTTAATTCTCGTATGCTCAGGAGTACGAGAAACGGATTTAGAATCATGAGAATTACCTCCTGAACTGGACAAACTCACACTGGCAGAAGTGTGGCGCCTGCGGGGGGTGGCCGATCGTCCTCTTCTTTTCCTGCGATTTCCCTGAGTCTCGAGATTTTGCATCTTCTCCAACAGCATCTGCAACGACTCGTCGAGTGAGTACCATACACAGGTGCTCTGATACCAAATGATAAGCAACGGAGGAATTCCAGTAGATAAAAGCAGTGTATTAATGAAGATTAAAGGTTGGAATACAGAAATTTACGAAAGAAAAGGTTTGAGACTCTTCAAGTGGTCTCTCACTCCCAATTCCCAAGTTTCAGCCTCCGTTATTCTTTCCCCTACCCCTCTTTTATAATAAAACTCACTAAAAGGGCCAGCCCTCGCTTAAGCTATTGGGCCTAGAACCCTATTATTGGAAAACATTAAAATACATAATAAGACTCTAATTATTTGTAGTACCCGGGTCCCTATCAGATTTTGGTTGCACAGGAAACTTTGTGTTGGTGCGTTTACATAATTCAAACATTTTTTTACTTTTCAGGTTGCTTTCCGGACTAAGGTCTTCCACCCTAACATCAATAGCAATGGAAGTATCTGCCTTGATATTCTTAAAGAGCAGTGGAGTCCAGCCTTGACCATATCCAAGGTTTCCGCTTCTTTTTAGTTTTTACATTTAATTTGTTTACTCTTCTTTTGCTCTATGCATTTAAGAAAATGCATCATATTCTTGAAAATGAATGTACATTTGGAATATAAGATTGATGCCTTCAAAATTTTAAAGTCAGTGATGAGTGTAAAAATGTGTTTAGCAGTTGAAAATACTTTTTTCGGAGCAAATATCTTGTTTGTGAAATTCTTTTTAGTAGAAAACTCGATTTATCTTTCATGGTAGTTGAAAAATAAGGGTCTTTTTGGACCAGGTAATGGTAGAGAAAGTGAACAGGGAGCAAAATATTGCTCAAGTTTTGGAAGGGAAGACAATTAAAGTGATACTTCAAACTACAAACATGAAACATCTATTTTATATTTTTGTTCACTCATTTTAATATATTTCCAGTGCATAAAGAATAACAACTCATTTGTGTACTATATATTTTTTAGACTATAATGTATGTACAGTAAATGTATGTAATATTTTTGAAAAGATATTATCAATTTTTATTTTCTTGTGTCTTACTAGATACAACCAGACATTTAAAAAAGAACTACTCGTATTTGACTTGCAACTTTTTTCTATTTCTTTCATTTTCCACATTCCTAGGCCCCAACATAACCTGGAGAGTTTTGGTGATTATTACTAGTATTTAGTATCTAGTATGCCTCATGTGGGGGCTAAAGGGAATAAATAATGATTTCATCAATTGTTTGGTATGATGTCCACATTGCCTGAATGCCTGGTAATAGAAATCTATTTTATATCCTGATAAATCTATTTTTTCACATTTATTATTACTTCAGGTCCTCTTGTCCATCTGTTCCCTGTTGACTGATCCAAACCCGGATGATCCGCTTGTGCCAGAAATTGCTCACATGTACAAGACTGACCGGGCCAAATACGAGACCACGGCTCGGAGCTGGACTCAGAAGTATGCTATGGGGTGATGATGAATGACAAAAATGTTTTCTCCCCAAATTCCTGTAACTTAAGTGTGCGCTTTTTGTGGCCTATCTTTGCCGTCTTCGTTGGCTTTTGATATAATTATAATAAGTTGTACCTTTGAATCTTTGATTTCAGGCGGCAGTCATAATGGCTCTTTTTAATTTGTGAATACTAATTTAGACATATTTATGCTACTATGGAAAACTACTACGGAGTACAATGTATTGTACTATGGTTTGTAATCTTGGGTTTATTAATGATTAAATTCCATGTTTTGACAATCGAGCATGACTCATCTTTTCATTTTAATTTGTGGAAATATCCCGTAGAGTCTACTTTATTTTATTGTATTTCATTTATGTCTCCTAAGTCCTAATTATTTGCTTTTCATTTATAAACTTTCCCCTTTTCACTCTCAACTTATTTATTTCAAAAACCATCTCAAGCCCAATTCAAAATTCAAAGCTGCGAGAGTAATCCATGTCGATTGTTGGCTCTGCCCTTCCTCCATCTTCACGACTTCACAGTGTCCGACCTTCGCGCCTCCGGCCTTCTCACCTCCGTCCTTCACGCCTCCAGCCTCCGGCCTTTGCTGCTCAGTGCATTTGATGCTTTGACGTCCATCCTAAGCGCTTCCGGGTTTCGCGGTTTCGCGCCTCTAGCATCTGCACTTCCGCATCTCTGGCCTCCGGCCTTGTTGCTTGGCTTTTCCACTGCTCTCTAGGTTGTTGTTTTGACTGTCCCTCTAATTTAGAGGTTTGTGTCTGAGATTTTCATTATTGTACTTTCACTTTGATTTTTGTTATTATTCACACAATTATCCTTTATTTTTGGTCTCTTATTTAGCCTTAGTTTACTTTCTACTTAATTATTGTTACAATTTACTTTCAATTTTTAGTTGAGACTTTCCAACTCATACTACTATTTACTTTTTGGCTCTTGTGTTTTCTGTATAGTGAAGTGATTGGTGTTTTAGTATGCATATATACATTTGTGAAGAAAGCATGCTGAATTGAAATTGGACTTATTGATGTGTTATCAGGATGAATTACATTGTGCATTCACTTAAACATACATTTTCACAGTAGTGTGGCTTTGGAAGAGGAATGGACACTCTAGTTTATTGTAGGAGTTTATGGATTACATTGTATGGACACCATAGCTGACAGTGATTTTATGGATGGTGTTTGTTATTCTACAAACTCATGGTTGCCTGCCAGATCCATTGTTTTGGAGTGTCTTGCTTCAAGAAAGGATGTCGATCCTAGTGGAGAAATTATGGTTTTAAATATATTTTTCCCATGGGAGCTTCACTTGTTTGAGCTTGATCGAGGAGGAGTTGAGGATTAATACACCAACCAATATGTTCTTTATGAGGATGTAGTGAAGGCTGGAGAGTACATGCAGTGGCTGTCTCTCCAGACAGATTTGAGAGCCGCAGGCCATTACCGTCACAGTGGAGAGTTCTTAGAGATGCTAAGCTTTCAAAGGAGGCAGGGGTTCCTGGTTGTGTTTTTGTTCACATTGGTGGAAACCAAACTTATGAAGGAGCATTATCTATGGCAAAAGCTGCTCTAAAGCTCTAAATTACCAAAAAAACACCCAAATGTTACTGAAAACATTTGATAGTTGTGGCAACTGATTGCTATCTATCTTGTTTTGATCCTCTTCGCTGCTATGTTTTTCCAACTTTTAGGCGTCATTTATGCTTTCAGGTTCATTTTGCTAGAACATCAACATTGAAAATAATATGACTGGTTATTTCTACAAAAATGGAAAAGAGGTTGAGAAAACTCTTGAAGATTTGGTTTGTGAATGAGTTGAAATTTGTGTTCTAGCTATACATTGGTTTTTGTTGCTTTTTGTTGCATCACTTATGTTTCTTTTTGTTGCATTTTGTTGCTTATTATTGTTTTATTGTTGAAATAGATTGTTTATGTTTTTTTTTGGAAATTGTTTATGTTTATTTAGGTTTCAATTTATCTTTTCTACTTCTTTAAAAAAAATTCTATATAATTTTATATAGAAACACAGAGATGATAAATTTTGATTTATGAATATAAATGACTAGAAACATAAAAAAAAAAACAATAAGAAACAAAAATTTTAGAGTTATAAACAAAAAGAAACAATTTGAAACAAAAACTATCAATAAAATTATAATCATAATTAAAAGATTAAGTTCTTTAAGAAACATAACGTAACATTACAAAATTCATTTATTTTTAAATTTTTTAATTATGTTTCAAGTTCATTATTTTAGCTTTTTGCATTTTTTATTTACTGAGTTTTTGAATATTACACTCTTTAGTTTACATTAAATATCTAGTTTTTTTTTATAATGTTTTGAATATTTTAATTTTTAAAATATTTATAACATTAATTTGGTTTACTTGAATGTTTGAATTTTTTTATATATTTATAATATTTTTAATCTTCCAGTGTACATATTTTTCAAGTTCTTTTTTTTAGATAACCACTCCTTCACAAAAGTTTGTATTTACTTTTGAAATTGTTTACTAGCTTCAAAACATTTTTATCTTATTTACACATTGTATTTGTAGATTTAACATTCTTCTTTTTTGTAACTATTGTATTTTTTGGTGTAAAAAATGTTGTATTTTATTCTAATTTATTTTATAAGCATATTTTATGTTTTTCTAATTTATTTTATATATATCAAATTCATCTAATTTTAATATTTAACTTACAATTTTTCAATTTTCATCTTTTATTATGATTTTTTTTTAATTTCATATTTTTATTTAGAGTTTTTAAAATTAATTACTATTTCTACTTTTATTAGTTTTCTATTTATTATCACCTTTTGGATTTTTCATGAATTCTTACATCTTTCAGTTTAAAAAATGCATTGAAAAGCAAGTGGCAGCTCACTCTGCATAAGACTACCTGCAACCCAGGGTTCAATAAAGCAATTTTAAATTATTCACTCCTAAAATCACTACAACCCTTGTATTCTGGAGTGCCAAAGTGGTAATATGGCACTAGGTGGCATCGGAATTCCGCAGGCACATTCACCCCTGACTTTGCTTTGGACGTTGTAGAACTTCTTGTCGTTGGCTGCCGCAAGGGATAAGTAGTGGTGGCCTATCTAAACTTTAGACCTGCACAAAACCGGGCCGGCCCGCCCAGCCCGCCCGGCCCGCCCATATAAATGGGCGGGTTTGGACACATAGTTTAGCCCACCGGCCCGGCCCGGCCCGAGCCCGTTTAAATTATGGGCGGGCTTGGATTCTAATATAGGCCCGGCGGGCCTAAAAGCCCGGCCCGTTAAATGTGTATATATATATATCATATAATTATATATATAAATTATACTTTATATATATACACAAAAAAATTACTATCATTAAGGAAGGCCAACATGAAACCTTAGCCAAGCTACTGCTATTAGTTCGGACCAATAAAGTAGTACCCCGTGTTAGTTAAAACTTGAACTGTTTTGTACTGGACACCTATCAAGTCTTTTAAGATACTTTTATGCTTTGACTATTCTCATTGCACATTCTGATTGTACTTTTATTTATTGTTTGCACATTGTGATTAAATTTTTAAATACTAATGTTAGTTCTAAATTTGAATGGTTTTTATTTTTCAGAATCATGTGTGTATTTCATAAAAGTATTTTACAAACGTTTACGATTTTTAAAAAAAAATAGAAAGAGGATAATTTTTTCGGGCCCGAAAGCCCGGCGGGCAGCCCGGCCCGCTCTTTTGGGCGGGCTTGGACATATGAGGAGGCCCGTTGTACCGGGCCGGGCTGGGCCCGCCCACTACAAATGGGCAGATTTTTTAGAATAAGCCCGGCCCGAGCCCGGCCCGAGCCCGCGTTTGTGCAGGTCTACTAAACTTAAAATCCCACTTTTTTTGAAGTTTAATAACTTTTTTATTTATATTCTAATATTTACAAAAAAATATATCACGATTCATAACTTTTTATGATCTTTCATATGACACCAATATCACATATATAAAAAAAAGATGAAGTTTCAATTATTTGAGTTTTTCAGACCCAAAAATTTTCTCAAATATATTCAAATTCTAAAAAAGTAAGATTCCATGATTAAAATTTTGTTTTGCATGTATAATTTTTTTTGGGAAAATCCCTAATTTATGTGTCTTTACACCGAAATGTTTGACTCTTTAAATAATAATTATTCGAAAAAAATAAATTGAAAAAAAATCAATGTATAGTTATAAAAGTAAGATTTCCATTCAAAAAAATTGCTGGGTGAATATATTGACGGTGCTGGATTGCACTAAAAACAGAATTGATTGAGTAAATACGTATAAATTGGTGGGGAATTTGATTTATTGACGGAGATGGGTTGCGGTCAGCCTAATAGGGACTAGGGAGAATCAAAGTATCAATGCATTAGTACACCTTCGTATTAATGTACTCCGTATCTGTAAGAGAGTAGCAGACAGCCCTGCATAGTACGGAGAATCAAATAAAATGGGCAGATGCCTGCGTACGGTCTATTTGTGAAAAGAAACTATGAGTAAGTCCATTTTTGAGAAGAGAATTGAAGGGTGCCAAAAGTGATACTATTTTCACTCTGTAGTCCACTCGAGAAAAATTCCCTTTTTAATTTCCAGTTCACAGCATAAAAAAAGAACTGGGTTGAGGTGGGTGGGGTGGGGGGCTTGGTGACTTGAGATCTGAGAAGGATCCTTTGGTGGCGTGTTCACTGTGTCCTGTGTGTTTCGAATTTAGATGGACGTCAGTGACTCAATGTTAATCATTTTATAAACAAAAAGTTCATTGTAATTATTTGTGTGTTGGATGACTTGGATCTAATTGAACCTTAATTGCGAATGCATAAATAACAAAGTATCTTTGATATTTTACAAACTTAAAAATAAATATGTTCAAATTCTAATGGTACATTTTTTGTATATGGATAAGTTTAATACTGCATGAGTTAGACTTCAGAGCCCGCTAAGAGGGGAGTAAGGCCAGGCAATTGCCTAGGGCCTCATATTTCTAGGGGCCCCAAAAAGTTTTCCTTGTATTATTAATACTAGTATTAGTTTTAATCATTTTGGAAAACAAAGCTACCAAACAGAATGAGCTTCCAGCACAACGACCTAGATAAGAAAACTCCCTAGACTTGAGACACGGTAGTTTCCTAGTTCGCTAGCTTAAGGGCTTAGCTCTTAAGGGTTAATTAAGGACTTAGAAGTATGTATAGTTTTGGGGCTTAGATGGTTAATACCTAGTATTGGTTATTCCGATTTTCGCAGAATAACACTGTAATATTGGGAGAATGGGAGGCCAATTCGCAAGAAAGAACTGAATATATTTTGTACTAGTAGAATTTAATTCCATAGTCATATACGAAGTATACTTTATATATAAAGTAATTTTAGCAGCGCAAGTGGGCTACTCTAGAATTATTGTACTCCTATAAATTTGAACTAATTTGATTGTACTAGCTATTTGGGTTTTACTTTTATTTGTAATTTTCACAAATATTTGTATGTAAATTTTCTAATTTGAGGTTTCTTCACAAACTAGCTCTATTGAAAAATGTTAATATTGATTGTAATTAGGTTCTTATTACTTAGACTGTAATTTGTTGGTCTGGTTTGGTAATGTCTGTTTTTTTTTTGTATTTTTATAACTATCTAAGTCCGGTCTGGTCTGGTAATGTCTGCTTTTTTTGTATTTTTATAACTATCCAAGTTTGATCTGGTCTGGTCCGTTTTGGTCTGGTCAGGGACAGATTACAATCCAAGTAAAAACATCCTAGGTACAAATATTGATACGTTGACAAATGTTTACACTTAAAAATTTATTGTTTTCACGTTCACAATATACGGTGCAATTTGAATATCATTGGAATCTATGCTTATATACAATTACTCTCATATTATAATTTTATGTGACTTTAGTGTTACAGAAATCATATCAGTGTGATATACTCTAAATCAATATTATGTGATTTTTAGCCTAGGGCCTCCACACATCTAAAGCCGGCCCTGAGTTAGAGGTGTGACTACTGTTAGGAACCGGCCCGGCCCGGTGGCCCGGCCAGAGACCAGTCCAGGTAGGACCGGCCCGGGGGTTACACAGGGCGGGCTCGGGTTACTCAAAATAGGAACCGGCTCGGTCGGGCCCGGCTTGGGCTTATTTATTTATTTCTTTTTTTTTCCGGGTTGGGCTGGGTGTTTTGGGGGGTTTGTGGGGTGGGGGTTGAGGGGAGGAGCCGAGGAAGGTCAGGGGTTAATTAGAAAAGCAAAAAAAAAAAGAAGCCCGCGGACCGGCCCGGACCCAGATGAAACCCGGGTCGGTTCCGGGTCCGAAGCCAAACCCAAAAAGCCCGCCTAGGACTGGTCTGGAGCCCGGAACCCGGCCCGGCTTGGGCCGAACAACCACCGTGATCGAGCGAACATAGAATGGGATTGCAGGGCCAAGCGTGCTACCGCAAGGACGAATGATCGATACCCGAAGGAGCAGAATCGAACAACGGCTACAGATATAATTT